GGCTTCGTAGCCAGGGTTGTTGAGCAGCCTCGGCTGGCGCCAAGGCGACAGCTAAACTGGCCGCCCCATCAGGGAGCTGACCAAACGCGCGACCGATCCAGGCCAGAGGTGGATGATTCAGAGGACGGCTTCCCAGCAGCCGGCACACCCCAAAGTGTCAAAAAGGAGCAACGGTCGAGTCGAACCATGCTATGCCCTGAACAGCAGTCCCTATCCCTCGTGCATTCTAAAGAACATCAGGAATGCGGGACTTCGAATGACCTGTTCAGGAGCCAGTGAAGCAGTCTTCAAGCCAGGCAGCTTAAACGTGAAGTGCCAGTTGTGAACTGCAGTGCTGATCATCAGAGTGATCCGCTTCCTTTGGGGCAGTGTTGCTGCTGATCAGGCTCCGATACCTATGCAGACGGTCACCATTAATCCCAATCAAGCCAACTTGAACTGCCCATGTAGCACGGCGGCTTCACGGAGCCTAACTCTATCCAGATCCTTCTGTTATTCCAATCGGATGCCATGCTGTTGCTTCACTCCCTTCTGACCAGCAAGGCTCAGCTGATGAATCGTCTTGCACTGCTGCTTGAAGGAGCCCAGTGGTGTAGCAGCAAAGAGGCCACGCTCCTTGCACTCCCGGATGACCTGAAGAATCAAGGCCAGTCCATCTTGAGTTCGGAGGCTTGCACAAGCAGCACGAACCTGGACCCGTGCTAAAGCTGTGCTGTACTTAGTGTGCGCATCGCAGGTATGTAAAATTCAATAGCTTCAATTCCCCAAACAGTGTGTCAACACTAAGGAGTTCCTACGCTCGGAGCAAGGCTAGCCGGCCAAATCGAGGCCAGCGCCCACGCTCCAGACCAGGCATTCTTCTCGAAGGCTGTCGCATTTTGGACGACATTCGCGCTCTCCCCTAAGCGCAGGCGTGGCCGCACTCGCCGTCCTCGAAGCTGTCATCGTTTTTGGACGTCTGTGGTCGCCACATGCGACACTGTCATCGCATCTGGACTTCTGGGCTGACATGGTCTCTCACTGTTTGCAGTCCACCCTAGTAAAATCAATAGCTCCACTAGGTCCTGCACACATTAGTTCAAACCCAATTGGGGCCTTGTCTTCGCTCTCCGTTCCTCTGAGCTTAGAAAATTCACTCCTGTGCGCGCAGCATGCGGAGATCCCCCTGCGATATCTGCGTTAGCATCAGGGCTTGCCTAGAATGGGCTCCACTTCTCAAATTGCACCCAAGGAATCTTCTCACATGCAACATACATGCGGAGTGCTAAGCTTAAGGCTTCTGTCGGACGTCAGACATTGATGTCAAAGACGCTGGATCATAATGGAGACTGTGCCAGCCAATATCTGTCTATCTTGTAAGACTCGGGCAAAGCTCGAGTGGTGCTCGAGCACTGAAGGCTATGCCAACCAAGGAGCACTCGCCATCATGAGGGCATTCAGCTGCTCGTACTTGAGGACCCCGACCATCAAGTCCACAGATGATTCTGCACGCAGGTCCCGGAATACTTTGAAGTTTATGTCCGCGACAACATGAGGACCACTTCGGGATAGATCCCACGAAGGTAGGACCCTCCCCCTCCTCCCTCCAGATTGACGGTCATAGGTTGGGCCGAGGCAAATGACTATTGAAACATGGGCTTTCAGGACTTGGTGCAGACCTTCTTCGAAGGTGCCGGCACTCAAACCTTAAGACCGAAACCCAACCCCAGTAAGGCGCTTCAAGTTACACGCCGATTGCTCGGGGGTTGGGTTGCTTCTGGCGGATGTCCTGGAAACAGCTGGCTTCTCGTCACAACTCGGTGGAAGTACCTTGGCCAGAATCCGCACGTATGCTGCTCAAGAACGGCTGAACTCGTCCAACGCAATGACTTTTCAACGCGGCCTGTAGATACTGCCCAGGAGGAGTGGATATTGCGTCAAAACAACCGAATTACCGTTTGTATGAACTCGCCCCCCGGGTTGCAAACTTGCAAATCCTCTGCCGCGCTGTTTTATTCCAAGCAGCTCCACGGAGTCCTCCATTCGCTCACTTGCGGGAGCCCGTGCGCGCTCGCGTTTCACAAAGTCCTCGCTTTGACTCAAGGCAAGAGGTTGTAGCAGTACATATATATATATATATATGTACTTAATTATACTTATACAGACATGTATGAATATGCGTATACCGGGTTTTGTTTGGAGGTGTTGTTCCCACCAAGAATAGCTGGCACAGCCACTACGGCAAACACGCAAAGACCAATGGAGACGAAGCCGGGTCACAGCCAGAATGCCCGAGCAGGCATCGTCTTCCTGCTCACAACTTTCAGTCACTGTCAGGGCTCGGGAATCCCCCTGATACGAACAATCCTTCATAGGGATTGTGGTACCCCGTACTGTCCTACTAAGGACTGCTAGTATATGGGAACATCCCAAGCCAGGGCTTTCAAGATCTTGCTGCAGGTGCCAACTACGCATGGATTGTCAAACTGCACGTCTATCGTCTAGCCTGGCCTGGTTTGTGCGCTGAGCAGCTTCTGAGGTGTCAAGGAGGGCATCTCATAATGCTTCTAAGTTGTCAAGATGTCTCTCTCTCTTCTTCTTCTTCTTCTTCTTCTTTTTCTTCTTCTTCTTCTTCTTCTGAAGGGCTTGGGGGGGGCCCTAAAGACAGATGATTCTCTCTGTGTCTGCCTTTATGAGAAAGCTTCTAAATGAGCAACGTTTTAACATGAACCGCCGGAAAACAACTTTAGATGGAATCTTGGATGTCAAGTCAATAGAAGGCCAAAAACCAAGAACAGCAACAGCAAGAATGCCAAGAACCTTTGCTGATTCGATATTGGAATGAAGATCTTCTTTTCTCAGGCTTCCGCCCTTCGTGGAGGCGGCTGGATGCGGCTTCTATGCCCGTGATGGAATCGAACTGCAAAGCCGCAAAGATCCGCAAAGCCAACTCCTAAAGCCCCAACTCATGTCAGTATCCGGCCTGGCCAAACCAGCTGCTTGTCCCTCCACGGCTCAGCATCGAGGAGCGGCCACCCCCCAGCATCGAGGAGCGCTGCCCGGTGAGCTTCCTGAGCTTCGACTCTCAGGAGCCTGAACCACCGCTGATGAGTATACCGATGGTGTTGATCATCGGTCCGCATCACTTATTGCTTACTTGAAGCTCCAACTAAAGCCTTCACCTCACAGGTCACTAATTATTCCTCGAAGCAGCTCAGAGCATCTGAAAATGCTTGCAAATCAAGGTGCTTTGCGGTCGACCTCCTCGTTTGCCCACGCGAGGTAGCTGCAATGGACGATCTTGAGGCAACCGCCATTGACGATCTCCTTATCTGTTGGGACAGGGGCGCTCTGTGTTGATGCCCTCATCCTTTGGTATGTACAGCTGGCAAAGTTTTGTCAGGATGGTAGTTGCTGACCTTTTCACACTCACTCGCTGCAACGTTGGTCGGCATGCCATGAGTGCCCTGCAACCCCGCCCCAAGGTGAAGTACCAGCCTTGACCGATTCCCTGACCACTGGGCAGCACATTTCGACTGCCACGGCAAAAGGGATAATTACTCTGCAAGACCAAAAAGTGCATAGTCACATGGCAAAGCCGGCGACCTCTATGCATGAAGCAAAGCAGCTTCTGAGTGCCACTTTGGCCAAGTGTCGTTCCAGTCCCCTTCCTCGTCTGGCGGCGCTGCACTTGTTGCCCATCCCACTCATCCTGGGCAGATTGCTTTTTAGGATGGCTGCCAGTGCGCACATTGCTCCAAAACCCTTTCCTAGAAAGTAAAGCAAACGAGCTGACAGATTCCGCTCAGCCGCCAAGGTGTCTGCTAAACTTCGCGTTCCCGAGGCAGCAGTACCACCTGGTGACCAGAGCTGGAAAGACGGCAAAGACGGACAAAGCACGCTGCCGTCATGCTGGATGCTGGGTACAGGCTCTCTGGCGATGAATGACAGGACTGTCACGAAGTTCTGGCACGTCGGTCCAGCAGAATGTCGCGGTCCTGCCCCAGCCTCCGAACAGCCTCAATTTAACACCCATCCCACTGACGGACCTCGCTCCGCCGAGTCTGTGCGACTCGCGTCATCTCCTGTCGACGTACGAGGCGTTTTCGAAGCGAGAGCTGAGCAGCTACAGTAAAAGTCTAAAAACACCACGAAAAAATCCGAAACACGCGCAGCGTTTAGATCTGGAGGCCACCTACTTATTGAGGGTTCCAAAGCCGTGAAGAAACTTGCTTATGGTGTCTAAAACCTGTGAAACGATGCACCCGCTCTTTCAACGATAACCCATCTGGTACACATTCAGGAACCTAGACAGCCCAGCTCCGAAACAGCACCTGAACACCCCTAGTCCCTAAGCAAGGCCTGAGGACTGGACGACACTGGAACATCCCCACTTATTGTTCTGATGTGATGTCTGAACACCCGCCTTCGTGCTCCAGCAAAGGCCCCAGCAAAGGCTCCGAATCCATGACCAACTCATGCTCCGGGAGAAGAGCCAGCTGTTGAGGAGATTTTGTTCAAGGGTGGAGCCTCATTCGTCGTGCAATGAATCACGCCAGACTAGATGCTGTCATCAACGGGGGTGTTCTCTGGATGGACGTCTTGCTGTTTGCAGCTAAAATAGCTAGAGTTGGGATCGATATTTGGTTGCGGGCTCTGGCCTAGTGCTTGCTTCTGGGGCCCTCCGACAACGTCATGAGTCATGCGCCCTGCTCTGAGCCCATGAAGCAGCCAATGTTCTTCAATACATCTTGACGGTTCTGCGAAACATTGCGAAACAAAAGAGGCCAACAACTAGAAGCTTACTTTGCACCACGCCTCCCCCGCCCCCCCAGCTGTCACGATGCCGGACTGCTTCTGCAAAGTCTGGACCCTGCGCTTTGGGATACTTTCCGAAAAGCCTTTCATGGCATCTTGGTACGAGCACATTTCACACAGAGGCCGCTCGGAGCTTCAGAGTGTCTTGGGCTCAAGAGGCATTGGGGTGCCATGACCCCGGTGGCAGCATCTGAGACCCCTGCGCCATTCGTGCTCCCTGGAATTGGAGAGAAGAAATGTGTTACTATCGTTTGTTCCTGCTTTTGACGGTTGTCCTACTCATATTCTTTCTGCCTTGGAATGCCGGACGAGTTGTGCTTTGTGATGAAGATGGCCACTAGAGGTATCTCCCTCCGTGTTTATGTTGGCGTGTTGCGTCTGCGTCAACTTAAAACGAGTGAACATTGCATGAGCTTTTTTCTCCGGGTGCTCTTATTCATGTTCATTTACCTTTGCCTTTCCCCCTCACTTGTCAGCATCACATCGCAAAGTGATAACTACGTGTTTTGGTTGTCGGTTCATTCGCAATTGGGCCAGACCTACCTAATTCGCCAACCTGCACAGGTGCCTGCTGGTACTACTTTGACAGTGCTGTGGATTCTTGCCTAAAGAGAGCCAGGAAGAGAGCAACTTGCCGATACGAAAGCTGTACTTCCCCCGAATGCCAACGCCACACTGGCAGGTTTCCTCGCCACGGGTCGCCCCCGGCAAGCATAACTATAGTAACGGTAACAAACTGAACATCTTGCGAAACCCCCCAGATATAGGGCTGCTGTGGGGGTTCTGTCGTGAGAGAGAGTACTCTATCCTTGGCCCGAACGGAGCCACAACCCTCATGCTTAGAACCTGTGACTGTAGTGAGTCCAAAGAGTGCCTAGCGGGCCCACCTTTGCTCGGGACATTCGTAATGAGCTCTTCTTCCATGGCCAGGTTTTCTGGCTTCACGGACCTTGGCATCACAGGGTTTAGCAAGAAAACGTCCCTGACAAGGAAGTGAGAAGGAGAAGAATCCCGCGAAGCCTGCAAGCAAAAGAACTGAGGCGGTTTCTCTGCAATGCAATTGAATCCTGCTCGGCCGCACGGCAGCTTGAGGCCTTTGCTTGATCTCGCCCGTGGAAGTTAAACGCACCTGTGCCGGCATAGCTTGGGTTTGGGCATGTTTTGGTAAAGCCATTTGGGAATCTGGCTGTGTGGCCTAAGTCTTGCCTTGGGACAAGGCTGCCCCATGTTGCCCGTGTCCCAGAACACGTATGTTTAGAGCTGTCTGGCAGAGCTCTCCGTATCTCTTGGCCTTCCATGTGGCCATGGCATCATGTGGCAAACTTGTTCAGGCTTGCGGCTATCCGGTGCTTCCAGGGCATCGTGAGTTGCTGTCGGTTAGCGACGGTCCTCCTCAATTGCTTAACCATCAGGCCATGCAGGTGCCCCGTATTTGTTCTGGACTTTCAGCCCTGGCAGAGCCCTGGCAAAGCAGAAGCTTTCTCTGCAAGGCTTTAGGTCGTCTAGTTGCAGAAGACGAGCTGAGGTGGAGGGACTGAGATCGTTATGGTATGCTACTGCTACCACTCATCGCAACATCGGAGTTGTCTAACTGCTCTCCGATCTAGCTCCATAGCCTTTGAAGCAACGGCGGACATGATCCGACTGGGCGATGCTGGGTGCAGTGAAGGCCTTCCACCGGCGGGCAGACGGATCCTTGAATCCAGTCTTCAGTTCTTCTGCCGCTCACGAAAGCTTGGCTGCTTGCTTTTGTTTGGTCACACCAGAAACGCTTCTGGTGGAAACTGCAATCTCGAAGCCAACGGGCCCCACAACACACTGCAACAGAATTCGTCCGTCAGCTGTCTGAGCCCCATGCCCACAGCTCCAAGAAACCCCGCCTGCGCTCGAGGCTGTTGACTCGCCTCTTGCAAACCTCAACCCCTGCCCTGAGTTGACTCTGCTGTAACCACATTGCGTTCGAAGACGCATGTTGCAGATGTCAGCTGAAGATGAGCACATTGATTGAAGCTTTTATCTGACAAGGACTTGGACCGTAAGCCAAGATTGAACTTCGCAGGCTTCAATCCGATCAGTAGACGACTGCGACTGTCATCTCGTCTACATGGACACTGCTGCAGCGGGCTCTCGCCATGTGAGGCCTGAGGCCCTGAGCCGAACCCTTCTGCCCAGCCCCTGAAGGCCGGGGCCCCAACTGTCCATTCAACTGTGGCGCCGAAAGGAGACCCTTCAGGCGTACGGCCTGGGAAAAAGGAAGCGAGAAGAAAATCTGAATGTGTGCCGTGTGCACGCTCAGAACCCCCCCCCCCCCCCAAAAAAAAAAAAAATAATAAAAAAAAACAATCCAGGGAGAATGTTTGTAGTTTTGGGGGGTTTCCTTCAGCAACTGGCAGAGAAAGAAGCACCTCCCATCCAGACCCCATGAATGTGCTCGAAATAGAAGATTTCAGTTGAGAATGGTGCATCTACACCCGGTGGCTGAAACCAAACCTTTAACTTCTGACCCAACTGCAGAAACGAAAGCTGGAGAGCAGCGGCACGCCGCAAATTTCTGAGCGGCCGCCATCCAAATATCTATCGACATCTATCGACCCTATGTCGTGTGGAACATGTGGGGTACATTCTCAAAAAGTGCGCGGTGGTGAGCGAGAAGCAGTTGCATGGAACCTCAGACAGCCTGACCTATGGAGAGTTAGAGCTGACACCTACGAAAACGGTAGATGCTTCATCCGAGTTTGACCTCTTGCATTAAAACGCAGGCTTCCCCCACAACTATCCTTGCGAGGACACACTGCAGCACAATGCGCATGTGGGGCGCCTACTTAGAATTGTAAACTCATCTAGACTCTCCATCCGACACCGTAGCTTACGCACACCTTCCAGCAATTACTGCAGTCTCCTTGGATTTTCTTGGCATTCTTGGCACCTGCTGCGACGGGGTCTGGCTATCAGCTGCACGCATGCTTTCGACACGTACATGTGAAACTTAAACTTGAAAATATATCTGGCGTCACCGATCAATCAGCCGCCAGACTCACCAAATCACTTCAGTCATGGACTGAAACAGGAAATGCCTTACTGATCCTGATCGTTCAGCCCAGATTGATAGCCCCTGAACCAGGTGTGAACGGATCTGTTGGCCGTCCAAGGTTTGGATTTGCAGGTGCTTCCGGGTTGCGATTCGCCCGGTAGTAGACTACATGCACTTGATCAGGCTGGACGTCTGAGTTCAAAAGCTCAGATGCGATGGCGTACTGCACGTCCCGTCTTTGGACGTAGCTGAGCCGTTTGCAGATTTCCTCGCTGACTTCCCGGCTGTCCGACTGGACCTTGAAGCAAACATCGATTGTACTCGACGCAGTTAGCCGTCTCCCGACCAAGCAGCCGATAATCAGCTCAACAGCGCCTGCACCGACGTTGGCGAGGTACGCCAAAGCCCGTTGCACGGCGCCCTCGAACTGCGCGGATTGCGCGACCTCCTGCGGAGCCTGAATCCTCAGATCTCCCGAGGAGACGAAGGCCGCAGCAGCTGTGGAGGCGGCTGCAGCGCCCCCAGCGCCGCCGGAGCTTCCAGAGCCGCCGGCACCACCGCCGGCTCCGCCGGCACCCCCTCCAGCCCCGCCTCCTCCAGCGCCTCCACCCCCAGCTCCGCCTGGCACTCTTAACCAATGAGCGCGGAATACAAACAGAACTGTACAGTAACACTGACACCAGACTGCAATAGACTGCAACTAATCCGAGGCAGCACAAACGGATGGAACAATTTTTGGAGTAGTTGCCCAGGTTGGCCGAACGAGCGCTACCCCAGTCAGCTTTGGGAGCCGATCTTCCAAGCGAAACATGACGTAAGACGTAAGTGATTCTACTGTCAGAATCTACTGTCTTCACGTCACAAGTTAGAGCAGTTAGGGCTTGGGTTTGGAGTAATCACCTCAAACCAGACGCCATGAAACCCAATCGAGAAGCAGAATGTGATGTGAAGACCGTCTTCCCTCAACCTTGCACTAGGCCACTAAGTTGCCCTTGCCTGCGGCACCACCTCCTGCACCACCGCCCGCACCTGCCGCACCCCCTGCTGCGCCAGCAGCGCTACCAGCTGCCGCGCCACCCCCAGCTGCGGCAGCTGCACCCGGCGGTGGGAGGCCGCCACCAAGCTCAGTAGCAAATGTCGCATTTCAGGATCTATACTCAAGTATAGGTTTGGGGTTCGATGGGTGCAACACTGATGCAACGAGTCCAAGGGGACACAACGGCTCTTGAAAACATTTCGGATTCCAATCTCCGAGCCTAAGTAGACCCTGGACCATCCTGAGCCCTACGAATAGCTGCCTGCAAACTCGAGGCCCCCAAGCCCCCAAGCCAGAAGAACGCAGAACCCTAATCCATCCTACGCACTTGCTGGGAGACCTAAACTGTCCTGGCAGCAATACCGCCAAGCTATGGCGAATGAGTGAGTGCTCGAAATCAACTGGTGCCCTATGCTGCAAGCATGGGTTATCTTCCAGGTTCTGGCCTTAGGAGGCAATTTCCAGCCTTCCGGGAGTGTGGGAAGGTTGCAGCTGTCACCCGTAGGAAGGGTTCAGAGCTTTGGGTTCCTGGCCAAGCCAAGGAACCCCCACTGCAAAGGCTATTGTGGCCACACCAAGGCCCATTCCGAGCTCCTCCGCATCGACCACGCACTGCCTAAGAGCACTGCAATAGTTTGGAGATCAAAGTTATCTCGGAGGTTCTTGCACACCTGTTGACAACACCTCTTCCCATGTAGTTGTTGTCAAACGTTTAAACTCACAGTCCAACAGTCCGCATAGAGCTAGAGAGCCGCACAGTGCTTTGCCGGGATGTCTTGAATACAGTTGAGTGTATTGGTGGGGTGGAAGTTCACAACTGCTGCGTCTGCGTCCGCGGGTTTTAGATTGCTTTGCGCCATTCCAACTGCAATGTCTCCTTTCGTTGTCGGGGTTCGAACAAAGCATTCCGCCAGAGATCTACGAATCAACTCTTTCTGAGGCAGTTTGCATGTGAGATGCCTGTGCAGTTTTCTTTAATGTCTCGCATGCTTGCTGTCTCACAATCTTCGGAAGTCCGTTCAAAATGCAACAACACTTGAGGAGTAAACAAGCAATGTAACAGGTACATCACCGCCACCACACCAGGCCTGCTCCCTTCCTAGCTTTCCGCTTTTCCATGGGGTTTTTCATGCAGGCCGTAGCGATCTGCCAAGCGCTTTTCAAATCCATGTCTGCAAGTCTTGCTAATGCAGCATCTATAGACGAGATGACAGCACTCTTGTTTGCAGGTAGCTAGGGCACTGAACTGAGTATTATGTACCAAGGCAGGCAAGTCGGCGGTGGCTCGGATCCCTAACCAAGCACCGCTGTGGTGCGACAAGCTGCGCACAAGTCCAGTCTGCTTCATCTTCACAGGCTGTACAGTCGCCTCAGTGCAACGTTTTGGAAGCAAATTATGCGTGCCTAGACCACAAACAGCGTAAGTCCACATAGTTGAACCCCCCGAGAACACTCCAAGAGGATGTCACCAAGACAACCCGCAACAAGCACTCCAAGAGTTGTGGGCACATTCCAAGACCTCTCTGAAAAATCACTCGAAACCCACTCCAAGAGCACTCGAGTTCTCAGCGCACGAAGCCAACCCATACAAAAGCCCAGAATGCCATTCAAGCGCGTCCCTGCGACAAAACAACAGCAGTGCACGGGACCTAACGGGACGTAAGCGTGAGAACGGTGTCGTGTATGGAATGTGCAGCGCGATTTGGGACCCGCCCCGGGGCCAAAAGCATGCAACAAAGCATGATATTCGCGACGCATGGGACACCTCTTGACGTTTGCGGGCCCTGAAGCGTGCACGGGGCCAGGCGGGTCATCGTCCACCAACGACGGGTCACAGCGATCTAACGCGCTTTACTCTCAGCTTAAATGTAAGAGCCCGAACATGAAAATGCACGCGCTCTGCTTGGGGAAATAACGCGCCAATGGCTCGGCAAGCTCTCAGCCTGACGCCTAAGTCATGCAGCCCGGCAGCAGAAGGAGTCATTTGCATAGACCTGCACGGCTGCTTTCAACGAAGCCCAAGGTCACTAACTCGACATGTCCCGAGTCCTCAGACACATAGGCCTAACGTCATGCAATTCTGAATCATGCTTGATGTTGGTGTTACTGGCTGCTTGGCAGATCTGCACGCCTTCGGCTTTCTCGACTTAGGTTTGGAGTAGCCTGGCTGTCAGCTCGTCACTGGCAGAAGCTTTCTCTCCCAACAGGCTTTGAAAGTCCGCGCCCGACTCAACTTAAGAGGTTCAGGTGACAAGCCTCCAGAAGTTGGACCAAGGTTCGTACGAAACTGTCACAGGCACTGAAGACGCCTAATCCCTCCCTGCCTCTGGAATTCTACAGCCGTCGTCGCAAGTGAAAACTTCCTGGGCTCACAGGACATCCCAAACCGAGCTCTGCCGCGCCAGAGCTGCACAAATGAAGAGCACCATTTCCCCTAGAACTCCAACCCCGCTCTGCCTTTGCATTAATTCAGTGTGGGGAGTGTTGGGAGAATCGTGCAGAAGGGGTCTTCGGATGGATCGTGGAGGCCTAAACACCTGAGCAAACGGGAACGATTCTGGATAGGATGTATGGAAGGGTCTATTGAACCTCGCATTGTTCCTGAGGCTTTTACGTGCACTGCACGAAAGCCTCAAAAATGTTCTGGTGTCATGCTGCATGATTACTGGCCAAACTGCAAAGCTGCATGCCACAGGCTCTCATTTAAGCCGGAAGCCTTGGGATTAAGCCCACTGTAGCACCCCCTACCTCCCAACTCCTGCGCAAACCCCGATGCGAACCCACAATCTGGAAGCCCTGTGGCCCAGCTTCTTTGATGCTTTCTGCTGGAGGCAGAGGGGGCGACGGTGGAGGTGCTGGGACCTCTGTAGCTCCCGCCTCACGTTGAGCACTGAGCGAGGGCTGGAGGCCCAGATGCTCGACAACGACACTCCCAATGATTGGGTTTTCAACTGCTTAAGACGTAAAGGCCTGGGACTGGAGGCTCACTGAAAAGTCGAACCGAACCTTTTGAGCTGATGCATGCAAAGGTTGATGAGCGTGGACTTGCAAAAGTTTAACGACAAAGCCCTTCATTCTTCAATGATTCTACAATTCTGTAATTAAGCCACAAACCTGAGCAACTCAGCAACCCCATACAGGCTGGCTGCGAGCAGCAGCCTGAAGACAGGGTCGACGGACCTGACATTCTTCATCTAGCTTTCCAGAGCTGAGAGTTACAGGTTAACATCCTGAGATGAATGCTGCAGGACAGCAAAAGGACGTCGCCCCCACAGGGACGTTGAAGAGTTGTGCCAACACGTCCTCACCCTATGGCACGAAACGGTGCTGCTAGACCGGTAGCACCTGTGTAATTAGCAGATCAAAAAGCCCAAAAGCAGTACAACCAAAGTTGCACTTCTCCATAACAGCGCAAGCCATACAAGACCAAAGAAGTGCAAGCCACGTGCACACGAGAGCTGTCGATAGCTTCTGGAATGTCTAGAAAAGAAGTGCAAATACTCTTCGTGTTTTCCATGCCCATGGCATTCAGTGGTGCCGGGAGTACTCGAGCAACAACTTGCGTGAGCATACCGGCAAGACACCTGCCGACCTGCCTGCCTTGAATAACTCCGCGTCCGCATGCAGAGACAACTCTTTCCCTTTCGTCAACGGTGAGACTGACACACGAAGCCAAAACGCATGTGCATGGCAACGAAGTTGAACTATCCAAAATGGCAAAAACTAGCAAGCTTACAGGTCCAGAACCCCGAAAACACAGGCATACGCAAGCTTTCACCATACAAACACAGACCCTAGAAAGAGAACCCCCCCTCATCGCCGACTGCAAAGCGCCTGCTATTCTCTCCAGTGGAACGAACGAAAAAAAAGTTTCTCAAGGCGGAAAACAATCGGAAAACCACATGAGAAACAAAACTCTCGCCCTGGTAAAACGCTGCTTCAAAACAGCACCATGTCACAACCCGTGCGGCAACTCAAAATGCCAACGTCCCTCCCCTCCCTTCATTGCATCGCAGGCTCCCTGCTTCGTAGACCGTCAGCGTGTCTTGTGGAAAGATGGTTCGGGTTATCTGGATGGTGGTGTCCGTCGACGCCGCCTCACAAAAGAGTGCTCATGAATCTGCGCTAGGCCCGGAAAGCACAGGGATACATGGGCCCGTGCAGAGTGGCGGCTAGTACTAAGGAGCCTTCAGCTTGCCTCATCTGCAAGACAAGTTGTGCACATCAATGTCTTCAAACTTCAAAGCAGATGTTCTCTTATTCAGGGGGGCTCTTTTGCAAAGGCCAGGAAAAGAACCCTTTTCACATTTGCACATTCTGCAGCTACCCATGCCCCTCCCTGCACAGAACACGGTCAGGGGGCGGCATCCGTCCATATCATGGAAATCCCACGATTTCTGTTTGTAGACCATTCTGCGACCACTGAGATACAAGAGTGAGACGAACAGGGGAGAAGCCCACGCAAAGAAAGCAGGACAAACTAAGAGAAACATTCAAAAACAGTCGGCGAAACACAGCAACGTGAGAGGAACATAAGGGAACACATAGTGGTCTAGGAGACACCCAAGAAGAATCATGAGAGACGCCTCGAGGACACAGGTGTAAAGAGTGAAGCAGCACCACACCCATGGAGAGTGCCAGGTGAAAAAGACAAGAACCACTAGAGAGGGACTCAACGCCCAGGACAAAACTTAGAAGAAAACCAGAGAGACACTCGCATGCTAACTGGGTCCCTGATTGGCCCTAGACCAAGCGCTGCTCACCCAAAAGAGAGGACAGGCAGGAAAAAAACGGCGTGACTGCGAGCTCTGTCTCATGCTGGGGGGGTCCGAACCCCTGCAACGACCGACAGTTACTATTGCACTGTGCACTGGCACATGGGCGTGCACTGTCTTGTGTTGGGCGGTCGACAGCGGTGGCAGCAAACTCGGTCTTACTGACCCTCCGCCCAAGCCGGACTCCACACCACCAGGCCCAACATCAAATTTCTTAAGTTAATCTTAAGTGAATAAGGAAACCCAGAAAAGCAATGCACAAAAAAACTGCCACTAACCATTGCGCGCGTCAGCGTGTCGAGAGGGGGCAGAGGTTCTGGTACGCTGCAACC